TTGAAAATAGAATTACCTCTTTAATGTTTCCTGAATCTGGATCTAAATTGTAGTTCACCAAGATTACTAGATATCACTGTTAAACAAATGATCAAGCAAAAGTCTAAGAAAGATTCTCCTTAATCAAACAACCAGTTTTTCCAACAAATACGCTGAACAAAATTTAAGAAAACATGAGAAAAATAACAAAAAAGAATAAGCAAAGGCTCGTTTTCCGAGAACACTCACCCCATCAGTGTCAAAGGGATGTGGAGCTTGGGTCCAGAAGCTACGACCTCTCTTTTTGCTGGCTTCTGCTCCACAGTCCAGGTCTCCTGGAGGTCGAATGGATTCGTGGTTTTAGAATCCCTACAACAACTGCGCCATTAACTCTTGTAGGGTGAGAACACAAGAAAGTTTAGAAAAGCAAAAAGAAAGGTTTTATTCAGCATACACTTAAAGAGGCAAGAGTAGGGAAGGGACAAGCAAGCTGCCAGAGCCACTTCTGTCCTAGTCTCTGTTCCCAGTTCTTAAGAATGCATCTTAGCTGGCCACATTCCAGGATCCCTTGAACATTCCGCATTCTCTGGATACACACAATACGCACACATACACACTCATACAGCCTAATCCAGTGCACCAGCTTAACAGGTACCTGAGCCTTTTACGCCCTCGGTGGTCAATTCCTCCTCTTCTTGGGACTCTTCTAAGCCCTTACCTAGGCACTTACCAAACAACCCAGGTGCTTTTCGTTTTTCTCACAGAGCCATGCCTTGGGTCCCAGGGGATGGGCTTTCAGAGCTGCTCCATGTTCTCCAGGAGAAATTTCCTGGTGGCGCCAGATATCAGGGCTGTTCTGTTTTCTGACTGACCTCAGGAACCAAGCAGATGGCTCCTGGCTGGGTTGCCAGAAATGTTACTAAGTGGAAACCCCAAGTTCTTACTTGGCATGACTCATATTGACCAATAAATGGGAGACCGAGGTGGGAGAACAAGAAAAGCACCTTCATTTCATTGTACAAGGAAAAGGAGTCGGAGCTGCCGCCGCCAAGACTGCTCATCAAAGGCAGGCAGGCAGGTTACTTTTAAAGGCGTTTACAAGTAGGGGTTCATGCAAGTTACCTCAGCAACATTCTTCATCATACTACGCAGGCACAATGGGGTTTACATATAATCTCCAAGCAAAAGCAGGATTCGAATGCAAAGCTTGGGGGGTAGGAAGCCCAGCAAAGGGAACAGGGTTTTTAATACAGCATGTCGGGGCTCTGTCTCACTCTTTCATCCTTAAAAAAGCTATGACAAAAACATTTCCTATTTATGATTAGCATGCGTGAACGTGTTACTGCTTTCTTTACACATAAAGCTAATTAGTACCCCAAAGTAAAATTTGCATTTATCTTCAATTTCCAACATCTCCATAAACAGGTAATTGATATTACTTTGTGCTCAGTGTATTCCTAGTAAATATATATATACACATACACTACACAATATCATAGCAGCAAATTTAAAAAGAAATGATTCACATCATATATTCAGTTCAGAAATTCTGCTGCTAAAATCTAAATAAAACTATTGAGGAGCAAAATATGTCTTCAATAACAAAGAAATGCCAAGATATTTATTTTTATAGGTGGGAGGGGAGGAAATCACAGAGCGCTCAAAAGCTATAGGTAAAGCTTCATTTTATAAGCAGACTGATAGATACATGGGTGTCCATTTTATAATTATTATTTTACCTCGTGTGCTTTTATATACAATACTTATTGGCATTACTATTTCATAAACACTGAGGAGCGACTAACACTGAAAAGAAAATCAAACACAAAACAACCAGATCTTGCATTGTTGTTGTTAGGTGCCATCGAGTTGATTCTGACTCATAGTGACCCCATGTGACAGAGAATTGCCCCATAGGGTTTCCTAGGCTGTAGTCTTTACAGAAGACCCTCAGCGAGATGCATTGACACGGTGACTGCAGCAGTGGGCTCACGGATAACAGTGACTGTGAGGATGGTGCAGGACCGGGCAGTGTTTCATTCTGTTGTACATAGGGTCACTAAGAGTCGGAACCAACGTCGTGGTACCTAACAACAACAATCTTTACGGGAGAAGATCGCCAGGTCTTTCTCCAGCCGACCAGCTAGGTGCGTTCAAACTGCCAATTTATCAGTTAGCAGCTGAGCGCTTAACCATTGCACCACCAGGGCTCCTTAAACTTTCCATAATGATATGCATTTTTTCCAAAACTTGTAACTTGCAAAGCAGTTTATGCTTTTTTAAAAAAATGCTGATACGCCCGGACAGAGCGGGAGAAAACGTAGAATAGAATTCAAACGCACGAAAAGCGACCTGATCTACTGGTCTGACAGAGAGTGGTGGAACCCCCAAGACTGTGACCCCTGGACACTCTGCTAACCCAGAACTGAACCCACTCTCAAGGCCCATTTTTCAGACAAAAATTAGAGAAGCCTATAAAACAAACAATAACACATGTGAGGAACGTGTGCTTCTTAGTTCAATCAGGTATATGAGACCAAATGGGCAACTCCTGTCCAAAAGCAAGACGAGAAGGCAGGAAGGGACAGGGATTGAACAAATGGACCCAGGGAACCGGGGGTGAAGGGGGGAGTGTGCTGTCACATCGTGGGGATTGCAACCAATGTCACAAAACAATACGGGTGTACATTTTTGAATGAGAAACTCACTTGAGCTGTAAATTTTCACCTAATAGCACAAAAATAAAAATAAAAAATGCTGATATGTAATTCCTATTTTAAAAGGCAAGAAAATAGACTCTCAGATTTGAAAGAATGATTTGAATGGATTAAGTGACTTTTAGAAGAAAATAAGACTCAGAAATTTCATCAGTGCAGCAAAGGACAGTGGAATCACACTGACTTTTTGCATATTGTGTATAGAATATGGTAAAATAATACAATATCGGTATCCACTGGGGAAAGAACAGGAAATAGTTCAAGAAACTTTGAAAATAATCTGGACTCAGAGTTACGGTCAGATCCAAATATAGTTGAATCTGTGACTGTGGAACAGAATTTGGAGCAGCTAAATAGAGCAGAGACATGTTCACTTACAAATGTTAGGAGCTTTGTGATAAACTTTGAATATAGTAAGCAACTGACAGAACTTATAATCAGTCCCTACATTATGATTTGGTTATGTCCATAAGTTTCAACAGCAGTATGCAAGACCTAATAATGTTAAATTGAGAGCTATTGATTGATACATAGCATACACCAATCTTATGTTAAGGATTATATGGAGGCTTTGCTGATACAAACCCATTTATTTTAAATAAAAACCAATGTGATTTTTAAGCTTTATCCTTTTGTGCATGGAATGTAAATTTTTTATGCACAACTATAATTATAAATAATATCTGACAATAAATTTTACTTTAGGAAAAATGTGACTTGAAATTAATTCTCACCACTTCTGCTACTATTCAGGAATTTCACATGTTAATGTAGAGTTTTATGGAATTATAATGCATAATTAACTGATAAAGATTGTATCTATAAAAATGTTAGTACTGTAAAATATTTATAAAGTAAAATAATGTAAGAGTGAAAACAACCTAGAGTAATTTAACATGTATGTGTGTTATTAGAAATAATTTCATATTCTAGTAGAAAAATAATCTCTATGTATAAACACTAAAAACGTCATACTTATGTCTGAATATATTTTTCTCTAAATCATAAGAATAAGTAGATATATGTCTAAATGGGCAATATTGGTGACCTTTTTATTCACTGGGAACATATTTACTAAGAATAAATATGATTTAAGTTCAATAAACACATATTTTTATAAATTACTAAGATTTTATTGTGAGCCTCACTTGATATAAAGTCCTATGCTTGGACCAATAGATCTTATAGGAATCTCAACTGGAAGAAAAATAATATTTGGGAATTATTTGTATTTAAGTAAATTATTTTTCTCTTTACATATATATATATATATATATATATATAGGATTTAAACATTTTAGCAGTAATGATTTGGCTTCCCAAACCACCAAGATTTCAATGTAATTGTTTATGTTTCAGAAAGCACGTTTTCACAGAATTATCTTTGGTATAATTAGATTGAGTAAATGTGATTATGTAAACCAATACAAGTGGACAAAGTAACAGCACAGAAGGGGGTCAGAAATGGAAGAACCGTGTGGGGCTCAGGAGCTGGCACTTTGGGTCAGAGCAGAGGTGAAGCGGAGACAGGGTGTCCATGAACACGGGGACGTTCCTCAGGTGCAGACCTCCTTTACCCCGAATGCATGTCTGCTCTCTAATCTGTAGCCTGCTGGAGGTGTAGACTTACTGAGTAGTGAGATGAACTTGTGAGATCCTCACACCCTGATCTGTTGTGAGTGAAAAAGAAAAAGTCTTGTTTTAAATTAAATTATTACATTGGGAGTTTTCAAAGACCTTAAATTAATTCGTTTTAAAATATAAAAGTAGTTTCCTAACCTGGCCAGTATAAAAACGAATGTATAGAACCTCTAAACAAGAATATATTTGCCAAAAATTAGTCTAGAAGATTGTATACTCACCAAAATTTGAAGGGAAATGGTCTTTTTGTTCCTTAAAATATTTATACAAACAAAACAGAATTCCATTTTCCATCAGAAAGAGTGAATAAGTAATTTTATTCCTTAATGAGCATTTAAATTAAGAGGAGTAGGTATTCTATATAATCTATCTACCAATATATTTATACTATCATTTCTAATTATTTTAAAATGTGTGAAATATTGACTGATTTACAGTGAAGAAACCACTGGATTGCAGAAAAGGGAGAAAGAAGTAGACTGTCCGCAGAGCATCACAGAGTGCCTTGGATGCACAGTAAGGGATCCCCTATGGTTTGCTTTATTAACATTACACAGCTTCACAGATTTTTCTCCTGAACGTGGTATGTTAGGCACTGAGCTTTGGTTGTAAAGGTTTATGATAATTTTATTTTGATCTTTTGAATGTGTTTTTATCCTTAAGGTCTGGGAATTGGGAACATGTTCTATGTTTTTTATGAAGATGGAATCAAAGTGATACAACCCATCGAATGTGAATTTCAGAGACATATTAAGCCTAGTGAAAAGCTCCTTGGATTTCAGGCAAGTATCGAAGTAATTCCTTTCCAGTTTCATGCAGCGATTTTGGTTAAGTAGAATTATATTTTGGAAATACAATGAAGTCTATACACATATGAGACTTGTGTAATGAGGGACATGCTAAACCTATAAAACTGTTACTCTATGCAGGTTTTATATCTGGGGAGAAAAATCAAATAACATATTGTGTATTCTTAGTTATATGTTTATGATTAAAACGAAGGTTATAGAAGTGAAACACCAGAATGAACACAATACATGGTAACTTCACCTGCTCCTTAATTTAGAATACTTTCTTCTTTGTAGGCAATGAAAGATAACAGCATGGATACACCTCATCTTTTCTGAGGTCTTAATGGAATAAAAGATTTAGATTTTTATGGGAAATATTAAATCATTTATTTATTTACTTGTAAGATTTTAATCTGTAAAATTCACTTGCCACATGCAACAAATCAAAAAATCTCTACCAAAGACCCTAATACATGGCATCAACAGGATACAAACCATAACTAACAACATATAAACTCCAGAAGATAAGCTAGATAACTGGGATCTTCTAAAAACCAAACACTTGTGCTCATCAAGAGACTTCACCAAAATAGTAAAAAGAGAAACTACAGACTGGGAAAAAAATTTTGGCTATTACAAATCCAACAAAGTTCTAATCTCTAAAATCTACAGGAAAATCCAACACCTCTACAACAAAAAGACAAATAATCCAATTAAAAAGTAGGCAAAGGAAGTGAACAGACACTTCACCAAAGAAGACATTCAAGCAGCTAGCAGACACATGAGGAAATGCTCCTGATCACTAACCATTAGAGAAATGCAAATCAAAACCACAATGAGATACCATCTCACCCCAGCATTACCTGCACAAAACAAAAAAACAGAAAATAATAAATGTAGGAGAGGCTGCAGGGAGATTGGAACTCTTATGCACTGCTGGTGGGAATGCAAAATGGTGCAACCATTTTGCAAAAGGATTTGGCGCTTCTTTAGAAAGCTAGAAATAGGAATACCATATGATCCAGCAATCCTACTCCTAGGAATATATCCTACAGAAATAAGAGTTGTCACATGAATAGACATGCACACCCATGTTCATTTAAGCATTGTTCACAATAGCAAAAAGATGGAAACAACCTAGATGCTCATCAACAGATGAATGGATAAATGAAGTTTGGTACATACACACAATGGAATACTATGCAACAATAAAGAACAATTATGAATCTGCCAAGCATCTTACAGCTAGGATGAATCTGGAGGGCATTAGGCTGAGTGAAATAAGTCAATCACAAAAGAACAAACATTGTATGAGACCACTACTCTAAAAACTCATGAAAATTTACACACAAAAAGAAAGAATCTGATGGTTAGGAGGGACAGGAGGCGTGAGGGTGGAAAAACACTAAATAGACAATAGATGAGTGGTAACTTTGGTGTAAGAGAAGACAGTACACAATACTGGGGAAACCAGCACAGCTTGTTCAGGGTAAGGTCATGGAAGCTCCATGGACAAATCCAAACTCCCTTAGGGACTGAATTACTGGGCTGAGGGATGTGGGGACCATGGTCTCGGGGAACATCTAGCTCAATTGACATAATATCATTTATTAAAAAAAAGTTCTACATTCTACTTTGGTGAGTAGTGTCTGGAGTCTTAAAGCCTGTGAGCGTCCATCTAAGATACTCCACTGGTCTCACCCCTTTGGGAGCAAGGGAAAATGAAAAAAACTAAAGACACAAGGGAAAGGTTAGTCCAAAGGACTAATGGACCACAACTACCACAGCCTCCACCAGACTGAGTCCAGAACAACTAGATGGTGCCTGGCTACTACACTGATTGCTCTGACAGGGATCACAATAGAGGGTCCTGGACAGACCTGGAGAAAAATGAAATACAAAATTCTAACTCATAAAAAAAAACCAGACTTACTGACTTGACAGAGACTGGAGAAACCTTGAGAGTATGGCCCCCGGACACCCTTTTAGCTCCGTAATGAAGTCATTCCTGAGGTTCACCATTCAGCCAAAGATTAGACAGGCCCATATGACAAAATGGGGCACAGCAGCCCAGGGGCAAGGACTGGAAGGCAGGAGGGAAGAGGAAAGCTGGTAATAGGGAACCCCTGGTGGAGAAGAGAGAGTATTGACATGTCATGGGGTTGTTAACCAATATCATAAAACAGTATGTGTACTAACTGTTTAAAAATAAACAGTTATGCCTTTTCTGTAAAAAAAAAACAAATCTCTAGCAAAAAACGGGCATTGATTATAAGGACTGTCTCTTATTTTTTACATGCTGATAAGAAATTATAACTATTTGTATATACACATGTCTACATATAGTGCCACATAAATAAGTATACTGCAATATATGTACTACTACTAAAAGTAACTATATCTGCCAAACAAGATCCAAAGGACAAATAATATAAGTTACAAGGAAGACCTCAGGGAGGGACTCTCCTGATGCTCATTGTTACAGCTGACTTGGCTACTGTGTATTCCAAAAATAGATACTTAATGCCATAGTTTAGATTCCTTACTTCCAACTCCTTCTTCCCGCCTACCAGTAGCCAGAATTGCTATTATATATTGATATATATAAGTACAAATTTATACCTTAAAACCATGCCCTAGAATGAGTAGAAAAAATAAAATTATGAGAGTAACATAAAACAGACCAACTTCCTACCAGATAATCTGTAAGAAAACACAATCAAATTAGCTTTTATTTAGATTAAGGAAAGGATTTTTCATTCATTAGTTAATTTTATTTATTTAAATAAGGAAATGATTGTTTAAAAATTATTTGTGATTTTTTAAAAATAATGAAACCATTGTTAATTTAAAAATATGTCAGTTATAGGCTAAATTACTAAACAGGAGTGTGATCATTTCAGGTAAGTTACAACTTATGAAGAAACACAAAAATCATTTTAAATTTCATGTGTAATTTTATTTTCTTTTATAATATGTTACTACAGTAAATCTGTTTTTTGATAAGGTTCTTGTGTGTGTATGTGGGTGATATGTGTAAAACAAACAATAAAAATAACAAATACTTCCTTTTGATAAAGCAAATCATCTAACTTTATACCACTTTCATATTTTCACAAAAACATTTTGGGTGAGAAATTGGTGCTAACACTCAACTCTAGGAAGTGCGGCGTCACAGTAATTACTTAAATCAGAGAGAAAATAATTTAACAGGAGAGTGATTCTTGTAGGAGCGACAGTTTTGTACCTAGTTGACACAGATGGCTCTTTCACCTTTTTTTGACACAGATGTACTGGTTATGTCACAGAAGTTGACCCATCAGTTGCTAATCCTAATAATATAACCTGTGAAATCCATAAGCTTCATCACAAAATTGTCACATCATGAATTTGGTTTTCAAATTTAAAGGCAAGGAATGTTCTTCTTGCACTACATGTGTGGTATTTCAGAGTTTCAGTAAATGGTCAAATGTAATATGGCCTAAGCCTCAAAGAACATGCTTTTCCAGAACATTTATGATGCCTCTGGCTGAGTTAATTTAACTTTTTGTAATCTACATTGAAAAAGACAAACAAAAAATATGAAGGGGCAGTTTTGTGCCAAGTGCTGGCAACAAGGATCTGAAGTTTATTTGCCTCCGTTTCTCTCTCTTAAAATTCTGCATTATATTTTCTTCTAAATTTACTAAAGTGAAAACTATATATAAGGGTATACTTTCTATAAAATAAATAAATAAAAATTGAAGAAGAAGTGGAAACCAAAGGCCGTGATGGTAATCTGAACTCATTTCCCTCCCCTATAAAACCCTTATCCACAAGCAGGAGTAACTAGTTATTAAGATCTAACTTACAGCATTAGATTTCCCAGGTCTTAGCCCCTACACATCTTAAGGTCATGTTATGTATGGGACTGTGGTAGAAATGCATAAAGTAAAATGGAAAGAAATACAAGGATAGGAAGTTTGCATTCTTGTACTATAGAAAACAAAATTTACAAGAGCTCCCATACTCCTATGGAAGAGGAAGCAAAAAAAAAAAAAAAAAGAAAAGTAAGAAAAACAGGTTTTAAGGATGCAACAATCAATTTTTTTTTTCTTTTTTTTACGTTCATGACATTTTACTGCTTTGGATTCTAAAAAGGCGAGTGCACTTTAGCTGACAAGTACAATTTTAAACCACTAAGAATAACAGAAAATGGTGAATTGGCTGAGGCTAACTTCTGTTTATAATTGTTCTAGATGGATAATATATAGGCATCCACTTATAATGAAAGTAAAATATATTTTTAATATATTGTCCAAAGTATATGAAGCAAATACTAGGATACAAAAACAGTTACTTTATATTGTTCTGTCATTTTCATTTCATGAGATAAGGTTAAATAACTAGGATATATATGTTTTTGTTAAGAGCTTGGCTGCTAACCAAAAGATCAGTGAATGGAACCCGCCAGATGCTTTGTGGGTGAAAGATGTGCTAGTCTTCTTCCATAAAGATTCAGCTTTGGAAACTCCATTCAGGCAGTTCTACTCTATTCTATACAGCCGCTGTGAGTCAGAATTGACTCCACAGCAATAAGTAAGAGTTTTTCAGGGGGTAGGGGTTTTAGTTGTTGTGGAGTCACATCCAACTCATAGCAATCTTATATATAACAGAATAAAACATTGCACAGTACTGTACCATCTTCATGATCATTGGTATGTTTAACTATGTATAGACACACTCATAGATACATAAATACACAGCAGTAGAATAAGAAGATGGATGTTTTCAGCTGTTGCTTTTCATTTGAGTCCAGCCACATCAGCAAATGAAAATCCAGAAAGCTTTACTCTATCCACGTCATTCAGGTAGACTCTACTTTCAGGTGGTAACTCTTCCCCAGTGGTATTTTGAGTGCCTTCCAATCTGAGGGGGTCATGTTCCTAAAAACAGCCATTTAATAATTGGAACATGGAATGTATGAAGTAGTAATCTAGGAAATTTGGAAG